AATTCAGTTTATAATTATTAAATTATTAGTAATTAAAACTATAATACACCTTAGTATCTTTATAAAAAATTAATAAAAATTTAATATTTAATAATAGTTAAATATATAACTAGTTCTCTCTCCCAATCTGGGGATTGGGGGATCGGGAGATAAAAGTCAATCCCTATTATTGCTATATTATATTGTTTATGACACGTGCCATAATTAGGTGGTTTTCGTGTACTCAATGCACACAAGTTATACAAACCTTTCAAGGTCTACAGCGCAGCTTGATGAAATAGATTTAAGCATAATATCAACATATTCAACAAGGTTACAATCCGCAAACATTACGTGGCAGTAGGACAGGTGTGTACGTGGGTGTGGTTGAATACGCAATGACCGACGGCTACCCAGAGGAGGCTCAGCCCGATTTGCGCTCGTATTTGTCGACCGGAATCCTACCGATGTTTAACATGAAGTCCTTTCACTCGAGTTTCATATCATTCGTGTTTGACTTCAAGGGTCCGTCGATGATAGTGGACACCGCCTGCTCCGGGTCGGGCACTGCCTTTTGTCTGGCTATGAACGACCTACGGCTTGGTATGGACTTTATTTTATTAGAGCACGGATATTTGTAAAGGGGCCCATAATTAGCATATTTGTTAGGTGGTGCCACACAGCGTTCCCATGTCTAAAACCTTAATTCCTTGAGAATGATTAAAAAATCTGTTAAATTCTGACATTTCTTTGAATATTAATTTTTATTTATATACTGTATATATATCTAATATATTGCTAAGTACCCTTGTAATAACGGTTGTCCCAAGTTATACCAATTGCTTTCAGTTAAAATTAAAAATATAATTTTCAAGTTTTTGTCATTGCTAATGTGACACACGTGCTAAATATCTAGATTCAAATATGTATAAAGTGTCGTTTTCTATACTCATACTCCAGACTATTCATAGGGTATTGTATTAATCAAAGTCCAGTTTATGAGTATAAGAAACAACACTATGAAATTCCCTAGCACCTATTTAATTAATATTATACCTTATGAATTGCAACATGCATAAAACCAGGACGTACTGTATATTTCAATGCAAACTGTATACTAAACATAATTATTACATTCATATATCAGATCTCACATTGTGATATTGTGAATATTATAAAAATAGATTTGTATACAGTTTGTATTGGAAAATATATACCGGTTTTAAGTACCGAGATGATTATATTATGGATACTTAACTATGGTAAAATGTATCAAATGTGTCTAGGTCACATCGACAACGCCATCGTGTGCGGCACACACATGACGTTCGAGCCTTTTCTACTGCAAATGTCTCAGGAGTTGGGGATTTGCTCGCCCCGGGGGGTGTCGGCAGTACTGGACGAGGGGGCCGACGGGTACGTGAAGGGGGAGGTCGTGTGCGCAGTGTTTCTACAGAGGCGTGAAATGGCGCGTCGAGTGTACGCCAGTGTGCGGTCGGCCCGCATGAACATTGACGGCCATAAGACGGGCGGTATGTTTATGCCGTTATCCGAGTCACAGGAGGAGCTCATGGTTGACACCTATAAGGAGGCTAATGTCGACCCCCTAGAACTTACTTATTTTGAGGCTCATTGTACTGGAACCAAGGTATGTTTATTGTTGGGAAAATTTTAGGACATTATAACTTTATAAATGTTTCGTTAAATAAATGTATTATTTTAATTAGGTTGGCGATCCCTTAGAGGTAAAGGCAATATACAACGCTTACTGTAAAGGACCGGGACGTAAGGAACCACTGCCATTGGGGGTATTGAAAAGTAACATGGGTCATGCTGAGTCTGGGTCGGGGACGGCATCCATTATAAAAGTGTTGATATCCTATGAGAATGACTGCATTCCTCCCAATCTTAATATGACTAAAATGAAGGACGAGTGTGCGGTCTATTGCCCACCACTGATGCCTATTGTTAAGTCATACCCATACAAACCAGGTAATTAGTATCATAAAAATATTAAATGAATGTCTATATTAAATGTGGCTTACATTAATTTTACTTCAAAGGGTTGGCGGCTATTAATAACTTTGGTATCGGAGGAGTGAATGCACACATAATACTCGAACCCAACTATAAGTTGTTAAGCAGTGATGGCTTAAGAATAGCACAAACTATACCCAGAATTGTCAACATTTGCGGCCGAACTCAGCAATCAGTCAAACATATCATGG